GTAACATTCATTTGTTCTCTACATTACTTATAACATTATTTATCAAACTACTATACACATATAGTAAATATGTAAATAGTAAAGAGTAGAGACATCAGACTGGCAACAAAGATCCGCCTAGTCAAAGCCATGGTATTCCCTGTAGTCACCTACGGATGTGAGAGCTGGACCTTAGGGAAGGCTGAGCGAAGGAAGAGAGATGCTTTTGAGCTGTGGTGTTGGAGGAAAGTCCTGAGAGTGCCTTGGACTGCGAGAAGATCCAACCAGTCCATCCTCCAGGAAATAAAGCCCGGCTGCTCACTGGAGGGAAGGAGACGAGAGACAAAGCGGAAGTCCTTTGGCCACATCATGAGGAGACAGCAAAGCCTAGAGAAGGGAATGATGCTGGGGAAAGTGGAAGGCAAAAGGAAGAGGGGCCGACCAAGGCCAAGGAGGATGGATGGCATCCTTGAAGTGACCTTGAAGGAGCTGGGGGTGGTGACGGCCAACAGGGAGCTCTGGCGTGGGCTGGTCCATGAGGTAACGAAGAGTCGGAGACAACTGAACGAATGAACAACAACATACACAAACACTCACATCTTTTTGCAAAACACATCTTCAAAATATCACTTTTACATTCTTTGAACAATACAATTACCAATCACAGTTATCATCATTAGTATAGTCTTTCCCTACTGGAACTCTGTGGAATTTACCTGGCTTGGACAAATAAGGAATGAGTATATATTTTTTTTCTCTCTTCCCTGCACTTACTTGTTCCAATTGAACTTCTTTGTCCTCCTGCTTTACCTGTCTGTCTGTTCTGACTGGTGTTTTTGCTGTTTTACTCTTGGGTGAACTTTTACTAGGCGTTAAACTCTCTGTTTTCACTGATTGCTGTTGCTGTTGCTTCACTTCATCACAAGATGTCACCCTACTTTCTTCACTTACAGATCTCTCACTAGCTTTTGGAAAGCCGTACAAACGTTCTGTGTTTGAATGAATTTGATTCCAATCCCTAGGTCTTTCAAAATAGGCAATTTTCGCTAACTTTATAGTCTTGGGCGTATCCAAAAATTTGTAAAACCTTTTGTTATAACCAATAAATGTCATTTCCCTGTGTCTCTGTCGTTTTTGAGTTCTCTCACTTGCAGGTATCAACACATTAGTTTTTTGACCGAATATTTAAATTGACCAATCTCCATCCAATCAATATCCTTAGATCTCAAGAATTACTTAAATTCATCACTGCAAATTTCTGCTCCTTTATCAATTATAAGTGTGCCCAATTTCTTATCATAAACATTTTCAATCAAGTTTAGCCAATTAGACAATTTCTCAATTGCTTCAGATACACCTTTTAGGAAATACACATGACCAAATCTGCTTAACCTTTCAACAATCAACATTACATATTTTGATCCACCACGACTCTCATCAAAAGGACCCTCTATATGCACATGTGCTTTCTCAAACAAGTTGTTTACCTTAATTCTTGATCTTTTGTAGAACTTGATAGGTACCTTTTTCACTTCCTGGCAAATTGCACAATCCAAATCATAGTAACACGACTCCATCTTATACTCTGGACATAGATTAAGCGTTTTCTTTAAAATCTCCATGTTTGCATGCCCCATAACACGATGAAACAAATGTACACAACGATTGTGTTGTATCTGGCTGCCTACACACAAGATCTCAACGTTTTCCTCTCCAACATTATTTACTTTGTTGAACATTTCATACATTTTGTTTCGTTTCACCCCTTTTCCAACTAACTTTCCGTCCTTGTCATGTATGTAACAATGTTGTTGTTCATTCGTTCAGTCATCTCCGACTCTTCGTGACCTCCTGGACCAGCCCACGCCAGAGCTCCCTGTCGGCCGTCACCACCCCCAGCTCTTTCAAGGTCAGTCCAGTCACTTCAAGGATGCCATCCATCCATCTTGTCCTTGGTCGGCCCCTCTTCCTTTTACCTTCCACTTTCCCCAGCATCATTGTCTTCTCTAGGCTTGGCTGTCTCCTCATGATGTGGCCAAAGGACTTCCACTTTGTCTCTCGTCTCTTTCCCTCCAATGAGCAGTCGGGCTTTATTTCCTGGAGGATGGACAGGTTGGATCTTCTCGCAGTCCAAGGCACTCTCAGAACTTTCCTCCAACACCACAGCTCAAAAGCATCTCTCTTCCTTCGCTCAGCCTTCCCTAAGATCCAGCTCTCACATCCGTAGGTGACTACAGGGAAGACCATGGCTTGGACTAGGCAATGGATCTTTGTTACCAGTCTGATGTCTCTACTCTTTACTATTTTATCGAGACTGGACATTGCTCTCCTCCCAAGAAGTAAGCGTCTTCTGATTTCCTGGCTACAATAAATAACAATAAATGCCCTTAAAAGAAACTTTATACTGGTGATCAGTCAATGTGGCTACACTAAGCAGATTGGATTTCATCTGTGGAACAAACAAAACTTTTTCCCAATACACTCTCAGACAAGGAATATATCAAGTCCCAAATTGAGAAAACATTTGTAAAGATCCATCTGCCAGAGTTACTGTAGCTCCTTCCGTAGACTCCACATTCCTCAGGCTGGAGAGATTGTTGGTGATGTGATGAGTAGCACTGGAATCAAGTACCCATTTATCACTCCGGACACTATCTACATCTCCAGCCGCCTCCAGCAAAGTCCGATGTTCCACCACCATGGCGTCCTCCTCTGCCGAAGCCCCCTCTAGCGTGGCTACCTCTGGGTTGATTTCTCCTTGCCTTGCAGTCTCTGGCCAAATGTCCTGGTTCGTTGCAGGCATAACATCTCCTTTCAGCCTTTGCTGCTCGCACGCTGGCAGGAACAGTCTCTGTTTGTGTTGACTCCCCCTCATTCCAGCAGCCTCCATGCTGTTCTCTCTCAAACAATCATCTCTCTTCTTCCTCCAGGATTCTCGAACAGATTAAATCCAACATAAGATTCTGGGCTCTCACCGCTTGTAGCGAAAACAACAAATGGTCCCATCCGTCATTCAGCGAAGACATCAAAATGTAACTGATTCTCGTTGCTGATCTTGACCTCTGGTTTGGCATTCCAAGAACAGCTCTTTCATCTTTTTCACATGTGCTCTTACATCTCCACCTTCCTCCAGTTTGGCACGATACAATCTCTTATCCATATAATTTTGCCAAGTGTGCTCTCTCTTAAATGCACAGCGCGGAGAGCATCCCATGCTTCCTTGGCAGTTTGCAGACCTTGCACATGAACCAGTTGATCCGGCATCAAACAAAGGATCAGGCTCGCTAGCCCCTTCTGATTTTTCTCCGGGTCAACTTTTCTGCCTAAAATAGTCCTTTGCAAGCCATCTCTCACAGCAGATGCTGCATAAACACAGACCATTGCTTATAATTATGGTCACTGAGTTTCTCAATCATCGGCATCGGATTAGAAGCAGCCATTCTCACCACAGGAGACCCTTGTGATCCGAGTTTAAGCCTAGCCGCTGATTCAGTCCATCAGTGGCATCTGGCAGTTTCCCCTCTGGTTCCCAATTTTATGGCTTTACAGCTTCACACTTTCCGATCATCAATCTCTGGGTCCAGCACGCCCCGCTCACAACTCTGCTTACTCCCGGAATCAGTTTTTCTACGAAGACATTCACCAGCTCTTGGTGAAACAGGCTCCAGTCACCAGTCCAAACCACACAGCTTCGATCACAGCCTCCAACCTGGTCAGCAGCTCTGCAGGTCAGCAGGTCCAGGTTAACAAGCCCGGTCAGTGCGGGCCCATAACCAATTGTTAGCATGTAGCAGAGAATCGCAGAAGCTCAGAATAATGGACTCTGGAGTCTCTGGTAAAAGCAGGTTTTCAGCTTTACTTTGTTGTTCATTCTTCAGTCATCTCCGACTCTTTGTGACCTCATGGACCAGCCCACGCCAGAGCTCCCCGTCGGCCGTCACCACCCCCAGCTCCTTCAAGGTCAGTCCAGTCACTTCAAGGATGCCATCCATCCATCTTGCCCTTGGTCGGCCCCTCTTCCTTTTGCCTTCCACTTTCCCCAGCATAATTGTCTTCTCCAGGCTTTGCTGTCTCCTCATGATGTGGCCAAAGGACTTCAACTTTGTCTCTAGTATCCTTCCCTCCAATGAGCAGCCGGGCTTTATTTCCTGGAGGATGGACTGGTTGGATCTTCTTGCAGTCCAAGGCACTCTCAGAACTTTCCTCCAGCACCATAGCTCAAAAGCATCGATCTTCCTTCGCTCAGCCTTCCCTAAGGTCCAGCTCTCACATCCGTAGGTTACTACAGGGAATACCATGGCTTTGACTAGGCAATGGATCTTTGTTGCCAGTGTGATGTCTCTACTCTTGACTATTTCATCGAGACTGGACCTTGCTCTCCTCCCAAGAAGGAAGCGTCTTCTGATTTCCTGGCCACAGCCTGCATCTGCAGTCATCTTTGCACCAAGAAATACAAAGTCTGTCATGGGTCAGCTTTACTTAAGCAGCTCAAAATAGACAACATACACCATCAGCAGACAGATGTGAAGAACACAAACTGAAAGAGATAGGAACTAATACAAACTGCAGCTGGAAGGGAGTTTATCTCGGGCACTCCCTAATCTTTCACAGAGCAAGAACTCAGGGTCACATTCTCACAACTTGTTACTTTGCTGTTTAACCCTTCTGTGTCAAACTACATCCTGGCAATACAATTCTATTACAATCACAATCCTATCACATAAAATTACATTTAAACACACATCATACATGAATTACACACTGACAAGTACTGGTGACGGAAGGTCAATTTTAGCTAAACAAGGCACTAAATCATTCATATAGATGTTAAAAAGAGTGTGAGGTGGGGCAGAAAGCACCCCTGTTTTACACCCTCTATTTAGCTGTTCCATAACAATGTTGGCAATGTGTTGTGTGCCTCCAATACCATAGTGTTGGGCTGGAGGACCTAGAAAGTGCCTGGAGAGGACATACTTGGGTGAATGAAACTAATACCAAACCCTATTCCCCCCTTTCCTTTTAGTACATTGACAACATGGTGAACTGCAACATCCTTTCGACCGTGAAGGTAGGTGGAATGCCACCAGGATTCTGTCTTTGCGTATAGAATCTATAAAATACCAGAATTCTTCCCATGTCCTTGTTCCACGGCTACAATTTTGCACTACCCCACTCCCTCGCCTTTTGTTTACAGTCCAGCCATGTTCTTCGGTACCTTGTCGCCATAAGTTATGGTGCACTGTTTTAATTGCTATTTTGTATGCCATATGTTTTTATTTTATTGTACTTGTATTTTACGGTGCATTTTATGCTCTGCTTTAGGCACTTGGTACCATCTGTAAGTCCCCTCGGGTTGATGGAGGCGGGTACAAGTATAAAGTTATTGTTATTGTTAAATGATTTGTGGGACGTACTTTGTTGGATGTGGATTAACCAAAACTGCAGACAATAGAGAACTCAATTGAGATTACTCTTTCTTCGCAGATGACAGAAGCCATCCTTCCTCAAATGGTTGCCAGGTAGGAGACAAAGACGGCCCTCCGTCTCAAGGGGGGAAGCTGTAGATGTTGTAGGACTGCAATACCCATTAGTCCTCTCCACTGAAGCCAGAGATTGTTAGCCGAGCTTTAGCATAGCTGCTTAATCATCCACAGCAATAGATCTTACCAATTTAGAGGCTGACAGTTCGAAGCCCGGGTCGGGGTGAGCACCTGACCTTCAGCCCAGCTTACTGTCCACCTAAGCAGTCTGAAAACAGCTGTGAGCGGAGCAGAGTGTGCCGTCGCGCCTGGGGGCTATAGCTCTTAGTGAAAGAGGCATGGACGTGACATCTTTCTCCAGGAGATTGCTTATTGCCCTCCTTTAGGAAACTGGAACTCCCAAAGACCAAAACACAACAGATAACTCAAAATGGTATTTATTGTTCACAATGAGTTATCTTTCTCAGGCATAAGCTTGATGTTTCAACAGGGATAAAGGAAATATACTTTACTATCTCTGAAGTCCAAGGAGTTTGCAGCTGAGAAGCTTTTCCTGTTTCCATTTTCCTCAATGGCTGTGAATATCGGAATAAACACAACCCCAGTCCAATTGCCTATGTTGAAGGGACAAGACCTTCCTCTGGTGCCAAAAGAACCGGTTTGAAGGCACTTGGTTCTCCTTAATGTTGTCCAGGACGATCTGAACATAAAGCATGAGTCCCAAGGGTAAAAAAACCTTCAGAATTGGTGCTGAGAGATAATTTAAACAGGGGCTTTTAGAGCCAAGTCTCTTACTCACATCCACCTGATAGAAACTCTGATAGCAGAATGAAAAAAGGGAAGCACTCCCCTCCTCCAGGAAGAGGTGGAGCCAAACAATTGAGCGAAGGAAGCAATTTAACTGGTGTAAACAACACTGATTGACAGCTATAAATAACCAATCAATCCAACTATACATAAGAAGGGTAAAAAGGCAGGATTAAGCATGATACAACAGTTTAAATCTTGCAACTAACAGTTCTACACACAGGTAGCGCCACTCATAGAATCATAAAATCATAGAATCCAAGAGTTGGAAGAGACCTCATGGGCCATCCAGTCCAACCCCATTCTGCCAAGAAGCAGGAATATTGCATTCAAAGCACCCCTGACAGATGGACATCCAGCCTCTGCTTAAAAGCTTCTAAAGAAAGAGCCTCCACCACACTCCGGGGCAGTGAGTTCCACTGCTGAACGGCTCTCACAGTCAGGAAGTTCTTCCTCATGTTCAGATGAATCTCCTCTCTTGGAGTTTGAAGCCATTGTTCCATTGCGTCCTAGTCTCCAAGGAAGCAGAACACAAGCTTGCTCCCTCCTCCTCCCTGTGGCTTCCTCTCACTTATCTATACATGGCTATCATATCCCCTCTCAGCCTTCTCTTTTTCAGGCTAAACATGCCCAGCTCCTTAAGCCGCTCCTCATAGCACTTGTTCTCCAGACCCTTGATCATTTTAGTCGCCCTCCTCTGGACACATTCCAGCTTGTCAATATCTCTCTTGAATTGTGGTGCCCAGAATTGGACCAAAGCGGAATAGAGCATGGGGAGCATGACTTCCCTAGATCTAGGAACAATGCTCCTATTGATGCAGGCCACAATTCCATTGGCTTTTTTTGCCGCCACATCACATTGTTGGCTCATGTTTAACTTCCTGTCCACGAGGACTCCAAGATCTTTTTCACACGTCCTGCTCTCGAGCCAGGCATTGTCCCCCATTCTGTATCTTTGCATTTCGTTTTTTCTGCCAAAGTGGAGTATCTTGCATTTGTCCCTGTTGAACTTCATTTTGTTAGTTTTGGCCCATCATCTCTCTAATCTGTCCAGATCCCTTTGAATCCTGCTCCTGTCCTCTGGAGTCTTGGCTCTCCCTCCCAATTTGGTGTCGCCTGCAAACTTGATGATCCTGCCTTCTAGCGCCGTCACACAGAGGCTGTGCAGTAAATCTCTGCTGACTATTGATAAAAGACTCTGCAAAGTTTGGTTTGGTTCAATAGCATGCCCTGAGACAGTCACTCCAGTTCACAGCATAGGGGAGGCATGGCAGCGGAACTATAAATCACGTACCTTCTCCCTGGTTTTTCAGATAGAGGTAAGGAATGTTGGGTGTTGCAGTCCAAGCAGGTCAACAGGGAAACATCAAGAGGCACCACGGGACAGTGACTGCATTGGGCTTGGGCTCTTGGTCACATTAAGGAGAAGACATGTTTCCTGCCTTCGCAGCATTTTGAAGAGTCTATAGCTGGACTTGGACAGCTGTAGGGTGAACGGGACCTCTAACACCCCCCCCCCCCATGTATCTCTTTGTAGGAAGAAGGGGATCATAATAAACATCTCCTCTGGAAACGCCTGGAGACCCGTGCCCTGGACCGCGATGTACTGCGCCTGCAAGGTGAGACAAACACCAAGCAGGGCAGTTCAGCTTCTGCCCTGCGACTCGATTCCTCTGCTTCAGAGACCCTGTTCCCATTTCTGATGTTTCCCAGCACCCCTGTGAAATTGAATGTGGGGTCACTGCCCCAATGGCACAGTTGTGCAAGCTATTTGGGAGGGAAAATGCCATGTCAAAGATCCAATGGGACCGTTCAATGTCACACGACACTTTCCTTGCTTCCCCTTTCAGACTTCCGTGGATTTGTTCTCGCGGGCGTTAAACATGGAATATAGGTCTAAAGGCATCATTGTACAGGTATATTGCAACTGAAATAGCCTTTTAACTCCTTTCCCTCCCTCTACACTCTCTCCTCCTCCTCCTCCTCCTCTTTTTTCTCCATCCTTCTTTTTTGTCTTCTTTTCTCTCCCTTCTCCTGATTTGCTTTCCTCCTCCTCTTCTGACTTTTTCTTTTTCCTTTTTCTACCACTGCTACCTCTTCCCCCCTTTTTTGCTCTGCCTCATCCCCCTCCTTCTCTTTCTTCTTCTTGGTACTCATCTTGTACCTTTTTCTGTCCTTTTCCTTCATCCCCCTTTTCTTCTTCTTTATCTTTGTTCTTTTCATCTCTTCCTTCCCTTTCTTCCTCTTCTTTATTGTCTTCTACCTCCTTTCCCCCCCTCCTCCTCCCTTCTCCTCTCCTCCTCTTCCATCACCTTGCTTTCTTCTATTTGTTCTCTTCCTTCTTCTCTCCTCTTCCGTCATCTTATTTTTCTTCCTCCTCCTCCTCATCTTCTAACCTTTCTGCTCCCTCCTCCTCTTCTTTCTTTGTCTTCCTTTCTTTATTCTCTTCCTTCTTTTCTCCTCCTCTTTCTCTTTCTTTTTCTTCTTCCTCCTTCCTTCTCCTTTTCTCCTCTTCCTTTGTGCTATTTTCTTCTCTTCATTCTCTTCTTCTCTCTTCTTCTCGCGGGCATTAAACGTGGAATACAGTTCTGAAGGCATCATTGTACAGGTACGTTGCAACTGAAATGGCCTTTTAACTCCTTCTTGTTTTCCTCTACACTCCCTCCTCCTCCTTCTCCTCTTCCCTTTTCTTCTCTTCTTCTTTTCTCCTCTTCCATTGTCCTTTTTCTTCCCTTCATTATCTTCTTCCTTCTTCTCTTCTCTTCCTTCATCTTATTTTCCTTCATCTCTTCCTCCTCCTTCTCTCGAGCTCCAAGCTCTATGTCTACCAGGCCCTTGCCTTCTCCCTCCCTCCATCCTTGGATCCGTCTTTGGAATATAATCTCTGGTCCATCCCGTTTCGAGAGAACGAACACACCTTTGTCCTTCTCTTGGGCTTCCCTTTCCCTCCACAGAGCGTCTTACCACTGTTTGTTGACACCAACATGAACAGGCTCCTCAACTTCCGGGCCGCAAAGATGTCTCCTGAGGTCTATGCAGAGGCGGCCCCAGGTAATTTTCAACGGTAAGCAAATAGTATTTTGGTGCCCCCCCCCCCAAACCAATCATTGATATATATTTTCTGTTCGTCGTGGGAGTTCTGTGTGCCATATTTGGTTCAATTCCATCATTGGTGGAGTTCAGAATGCTCTTTGATTGTAGGTGAACTATACATCCCAGTAACTACACTTGCCGCACTTGCTCACTTGCCTGGCCCGCTTTGGGTCCGGAGGCGTGCCTGAAGACCCCGGCGTGTGCACCAAAAGTCACCTCTTCTCCTGACTTTCTCCTCAGCCATTGGGACCGAGAGAGAGAGAGAGAGAGAGAGGTGGAGATGCCCACCTTTCCTGAAGGTAGGCGCAAAAACAAAGGAGGGAGCGGAGGTGGGAGATACCTCCAGCCGGAGGGGCTCTCTCTCTCTCTTCTCTCTCTTGGTCCCAATGGCTGAAGAGAAAGTCAGGAGAAGAGGTGACTTTTGGTGTGCACACTGGGGTCTTCAGACATGCCTCCAGATCCGAAGAGGGCCAGGCGCGGCGGTTCCACCTCTTGGCCCACCCGCGGATTGGGGAGAGGAGAGGAGGCGGGTGGAGCGCCGGGGGATCGAGAAAGGGAGCTGGTCATGGGGAAAGGATCAAATGCGGAGAACGATTGAGCGCTGGCTCTGCTCGCGCATCCAGTGGCTGGATGGAGCAGGAACAAGAGGGCTAGGCGAGGCTCAAGGGCCCGGCCCCTTTGGGAAGTAGATCGCCCGGCAGCGAGGCAAAAAAGTTGAGACTCCTCCCGGACTGCTAGGGCTGTTGTGAGCTGAGGGGGCACTCCTCAAGTGGAGATCGAGGGGCATTTACAGAGGCGCCTCTGCACCCCTGGCAAAAAGAAAGTGTTCTGCGACCGCTTACTTTGCGTAATGCACGAGCTGCCCCTGGGTCTATGCCCACAAAGCCTTGAACACCGTGGGCTTCACCAACAGAACCTCAGGGTGCCTCAGCCACAGCTTGCAGGTGAGTTGGGGGCAAGAGGCGTTTCCTCACTCCAAAAAACCACCCCACTTTCCTGGCCAATAAAACCCTTTGGAAACTTCCCAAGAAGTTGAGATTTGAGGTCAGTTTTCTGCCCATTCGCTCCAGAACACCAATAATTTCTCCCCAAACAAAGCTCTGTTTTCGATCCAATTATAGGAAAAGAGCTCCCCTATCTTCAACAATAGGAAAAGTGGGTACAAAGTAGTTTTGGGTTGTGTTTTTTGCTGGGTGGTGAAGTCGAACTAAAATTAGTATATGAGAGAAGGACCATGTCGTCTACATATACAGAAATAGTGTCAAGCAGTGTAGATGTGGCTTAAGGCACTCTTCTGGTGACCTTGCTCTGCCAAACTTTTCCAAAAGTGATATTACCTAACTTTCCTCTCTCTTTGGCTTTTGATTCAGAATTTCATGTTGGAATGGTTCTTCCCAAAGTCATTAGTGTACTACACATCCTATGGACGTTTCATCCATCGGGCTATGCTGAAGTCCCTTTTCAAATAATGTATTTTCACCTTCCTGATGGTTCTTGTGGAAAGGAGCCGGACCAGGACCACGACCAGGACCGTGCAGAGCCATTGGTTGCTATGTTCCAAACGCTATCCTTGTAGTATTAAAATGATGGTTGCATCACAATTTAATAAATCCCTCATTATGCATTATGGATGGAAATGTATTGTTTGCTGCTATAGTTCTATGTAGTTCCCCCCCTTTTAAATATCCAAATTCTGCTTCTGTTGCCCCTGAATAGCTTTTGGAGATTCCTGACACTGGCTGTTCAGAGTCCCTGAATTTAAAAATCGCAGAAATTAGATAGCTGTGGTTTCCAAATGGCAAGGCTGCACTTGATCACACCATCCAATTTGTATGACGGTAATGTAATACATAACATAGGATCAGATGGCGAGGAAAGACGCCTGCTCATGGAGGAAGCAACACCAGCAGTTTGAGCTATGTAGTAGGGCTGGGCGGTTTCGTTTCGTTAATACGTAATTCGTTAATAATTCGTTAATTTTTTCAATTACAAAACGATAACGAACCATTCTGGAGCAATTATTAAAAAAACGAATTTTCAAAAACGTTGTGTAAATGCTTCGTATTTCGATATTGTATTCGTTTCGTTATTGTTTTGAGGTCGTTTCGTTATTATTTCCGCATGTCTGGGCCAGTTTTATGGTTTAATTAGTGAAAAAAAATTATAATATCACACCAACAGTCAACAACAGAGAGAGAGGGAAGCTTCAGAAGGTTTTGGAGGTTTTTTAGCGTATTTCGCGGTCGCGTCCGCCATTAACGAATCGATTCGTTATTATTTCGGAAATCGATTCGTTAATTTTTTACCATTTACGAAATTTCGTAAATATCGAACTTTTTAAAAGGAAAATTTTGTAATTATTTTAAATATAGAAACAAAAAAAACCCCCAAATACAAATTGATTTTAGAAACAAATTTTTCCGTTGTTACCCAGGCCTACTATGTAGATGACATCCTGCTAGTTATAGAAAATAGCAAGCACTTGGAAGGAAGGAAGGAAGGAGAGAAGGAAGGGAGAAAGAAAAGAGAGAAAGAAAAAAGGGAAAAGGAAGGAAGGAAGGAAAGAAGGGGAAAGGGAAAAAAGGAAGGGAAAGAAGAAAGGGAAGGAAGGAAGGAAGAAGGAAGAATGAAGGGAAGGAAGGAAGGAGGAGGGAGAAAGAAGAAAGGAGAGAAGGAGAGAAAGAAGGAAGGAAAGAAAGAAAGGTAGAGAAGGAAGGAAGGAGAGAAGGAAATTAAAAGTGAAAGAAGGAGGGAAAGAGAAAAGGATGAAAGAGAGAAAGAGGGAGGGAAGAAAGGAAGGAAGGAAGGAAGGAAGGAAGGAGGAAGGAAGGAAGGAAGGAAGGAAGGAAAGAGAGAAAGGGGAATTAAAGGAAAGGAGAATAAAGGAAGGGGAGAAGGAAGGGAGGAAGAAAAGAAAGACTGAAAGAAATGTGAATTAAGGAAAAAGGAAGGAAGGAAGGAAGGAAGGAAGGTGAAAGGAAAGATAGAGAAAGGAATGAACAGAAAGAGGAAGGAAGGAAGGAAGCACAAAAGGGAAGAATGAGAGAGAAAGAAGAAGAAAGGAAAGAGGAAGGAAGGGAGAAAGGAAAGAGAGAAAAGGGGGAATGAAAGGAAAGGTGAAGGAAGGAGGGAAGGAGGGAAGGAGAAAGGAGAGAGAGAGATATAGAGGAAGGGGAATGAAAGGAAGGAATGGAAGGAAAGAAGGAAAAAGAGAAGGAAGGGAGAAAGAAAAGAAAGAGAGAAAGAAAGAAAGAAAGAAAGAAAGAAAGAAAGAAAGTAAGGAAGAAGGAAAGAGAAGGAAGGAAGGAAGGAAGGAAGGAAGGAAGGAAGGAAGGAAGGAAGGTGAAAGGAAAGATAGAGAAAGGAATGAACAGAAAGAGGAAGGAAGGAAGGAAGCACAAAAGGGAAGAATGAGAGAGAAAGAAGAAAGGAAAGAGGAAGGAAGGGAGAAAGGAAAGAGAGAAAAGGGGGAATGAAAGGAAAGGTGAAGGAAGGAGGGAAGGAGAAAGGAGAGAGAGAGATATAGAGGAAGGGGAATGAAAGGAAGGAATGGAAGGAAAGAAGGAAAAAGAGAAGGAAGGGAGAAAGAAAAGAAAGAGAGAAAAAAGGGAATGAGGAAAAGGAAAAGAGAGGAAGAGAAAGGGAATGAAAGAAGAAGGAAGGAAAGGGAAAGAAAGATAGAGAAAGGAAGAAAGAAAGAGGAAGGAAGGAAGGAAGCACAAAAGGGAAGAATGAGAGAGAAAGAAGAAGAAAGGAAAGAGGAAGGAAGGGAGAAAGGAAAGAGAGAAAAGGGGGAATGAAAGGAAAGGTGAAGGAAGGAGGGAAGGAGGGAAGGAGAAAGGAGAGAGAGAGATATAGAGGAAGGGGAATGAAAGGAAGGAATGGAAGGAAAGAAGGAAAAAGAGAAGGAAGGGAGAAAGAAAAGAAAGAGAGAAAGAAAGAAAGAAAGAGGAATGAAGAAAGAAAGAAAGAAGAATGGAAGAAGGAAAAGGAAGAAGGAGAAAGGAAAGAGAAAGGAAGAAAGAGGAAGGAAGGAAGGAAGGAAGGAAGAAGGGAAGAGAAGGAAGAAGGAAGGAAGGAAGGAAAGGAAGGAAGAAAAGGAAAAAGAAAGGAGAAGGAGGGAGGAGAAGAAAGAAAGATGGAAGAAGAAAGAAAGAGAAAGAAAGAGAAAGAAAGAAAAGAAGAAGGTAGGCAAGGAATGATTGTCATATGGATGTTTAATTGTTGTTATGCTATTGCTTTTAAATGTTCCCATGATTTTGTAATGTGTGTATTGAAACTCTTAACTGCTTTGGGTCGCCTAAAGGCTGAGAAAAGCGGTATATAAATGAAGTAAGTAAATAAATAAAATAAAGGAAGGAGGGAAAGAAAGGAAAGGGGGGAAAGGTATGTGGGGTAGGAAGGAGTGAGTGGCACTCAGAAAGTGTGTATGGCCAATGTGTGTGTGCCTTGGAGCCAGAAGGGTGGCGCAAGCCAAGGTTTGCCAGGGGGAGCATCCTTATTGGGAGCGTGCGCTGGAACTGATGTCTCCAAGCCAGCCTTGCGCTGCGCATTCGTCCTGGTGCAGGCCATTGGCACACAGAGTTTTCATTCCTCGCACAAGGTCCTCTATGGCTGGTGCACCACAGACGCGTCTCTGAGACGATGTGCATCTAGGCCGACATAGGTCTTCCACAATCTGAAATCATCCAGTCATCATCCTGAGCATTGACTCACCCCGCAGGGAGCAAAAGTTTGGATGTGCTGAAAGCAAAGGTGTTGCCGGACAATGTGGGAGTGTTCTGGTACTTGGAAGCGCATACGCCTTGGAGCCAGAAAGAGGTGTGAACTGACTCTGCATAGGTCTGGAAATAAAAGGATCTGTATTCGGTGTGAATTAATTTATCCGTGCCTGTCTTGCACATCAGTGGTGACGGGTGGTGCAAGGAGAGCATCGGGAAAGGTGGCAATGGCTCCCCAAGGTGAAATGACTTCTCTGGACTTCTCCTTCTGCCTCTTTGGAGGCGCCGTTGCCCTTTGGATGCTCCTGAGAGCCTCCTGGTTCATTTGGTTCAAGATCCGGGTCCACATTCTCTCCGAGTATTGGAAAGCGGTGGACTTCTCCCATTACGGCACCTGGGCAGGTGAGTGCAAACACGCTCCATAGACTCCCCAAGGGCGCATCTATTCTGCACTGTATCATGCATTCAGCACCACTTTGACCACCGAGACTCAATGCTGTGGAGATCCAGGGAGTTGTAGTTTGGTGAGGCACCAGACCTTTTTTATTGGTATGGAAGGCTCAAGATCTTGCCGAACTACAACTCCCAGGAATTCCATAGCATGTGATGAGACATCCGGTTCTGCATTTCTAACTCAATGCTAGGCCATCGTGGGACTTATAATTTGGTACCATACTCACATTCTAAGGCCCTTTGGAAGCTACAACTCCCAGGATTCCATTGCATGTAATGAAATATCTGTTTCTGCATTTTAACTCAATGGTATGCCATCCTGGGAGTTGTAGTATGGTGAGGAACCTGCACTTTTTTGGGGGGGGGGGTATGGAAGGTTCAAGACATTGTTAAACTACAACTCCCAGAATTTCCATAGCTTGTGATGAGATGTCTGTTTCTGCATTTCTAACTCAACGCTATGCCACCCTGGGAGTTGTCAATGAGGTCAATGTATGTAGACGCATGTTCTTTGTTTGACTGCGATTGGAGGGTATAAAAGCCATAGTCAATGCCTATATTGGGGCTCTGGATGCTTTTGGACATAGCCCACTCCAGGGTCCCAGCTGGAAATAAAATACGTGCTTTTGAGACCTCCAGACCTCTCTTTGTCTCTTTTCCTGAAAGCTTCTCCCTGCCATTTCAGAAGGTTCAAGACCTTATTAAACTACAACTCCCAGGATTTCCATAGCATGTGATGAGATTTCTGTTTCTGCATTTTAACTCAATGCTATGCCATCCTGGGAGTTGTAGTATGGTGAGGTACCTACACTTTTTTGGGTATGGAAGGTTCAAGACCTTGTTAAACTACAACTCCCTGGATTTCCTTAGCATGTGATGAAACACTCAGTTCTGCAATTTCACTGCCAGGGCTCAATGCTGTAGAATACTGCAAATTGTATTTTGGTGATGCACTCTCACTCTAAGGCCCCTGGGAACTACAACTCCCAGGATTCTATTGCATGGTGTGAGATATCTGCTTCTGTATTTTTATTTCAAATGCTCTGCCATCCAGGGAAATTGCAGCAGTGATTGGCAGAGACAGATAAAGGCCCTGGAGAACTACAACTCCCAGGATTACATATTATGTAATGAGGTATCTGGTTCTCTGCTTTTAACTCAATGCTATGTCATATTGGAAATTGTAGTTTGGTGAATGCCAGCACCAACTGGCAGAGGCCGCTCAAGCCCTTGCCATACCACAACTCCCATGATTCCAGAGCATCAAGCCACAGCAGTTCAAGTGGTGTGAAACTGCATCCGTTTTACAATGCTAATGCAGCAAGGTAAGGTAAGGCAAAAGCCCTTGCTGAACTGCAAACTCCCTGGATTCCATAGTAATATCAAGCCATGGCAGTTCGACTGGCATCAAACTGCACCTCATCAAAAGTATAAACCAGTTAAACATAGG